CCACTTGTTATGTCCATCAGTTGTATGTGCGGAATAGAAGCCAGACAGGATAGCAGAGAACAAGTTTACTGCAACAGTTTCTGTGTGTACATCAGCTTCTCTGCGTGTGCGTCACGTCCTATCAGTCAGCAGCAAGTCCCGCCTTTTGTCCGCGACATCGTATTCAAGGTGAAGCAGCCGTTGTCCACTTTGTCTCTTCTTCTTTGTCCATGCGACAGCAGCCTATCCGGCCAGCCATCCTGTGATGTCGATCTCCTCAGGGTCACACAACCTAGTGACGCTGTTACGCGTGCGCGTAGACATTTGTGCCTGCGCGCTTTCGCATGTGATGGTTTCTTTGTCATCCTGACACCAGGATGGCAAGTGTGTTGACTCATGTTTTGTGCTCTCTTAACAAGAATGTTGTCTTCATTCGCATACTACCGTGTCAGCGGAAGTAGCTCTTTGCTTTTCTTGTTTAAGTCCATGTCCGTTTTTGAATGCTCGGACAAAAATGTCTTTCCCAGGCCTTTGATTTGTGGTCGAAACTACTGCTTGACCGAGGAAACGGGTTTTCTCACAGTGTTCACACCGACCAGTCGCTTTTTGTACAGTAATTATACAGCCTAATGCGTGTGAATATTTATTGCACGAAACATTTCTTGAATTAAGTTTGGGCATTTTCTATACTGAAGCCCTTAGTCATCAGAGGGCTTTGTATTTTGTATTGCTGCTTTATTCGCGAATTGGCCTTTGCTTTTCTAACATTCCACAAAATCAGGTCGTCAACAGACGCAGGCCGTCTCCCTTTTCTCCGACAAATTATGGGATGCCGTTCCAGTGACGTTTCTGCTACAGTATGCGCGGTCGCACATGTCCGACTACAGAAAGTTCTACCCACGTCTTCTACAGTAAGCGATTTGGTATTTAGTGTTATATTTTTTTGGTAAAAGTTTACTTAGTAGGCGTGTTTAACTCGGTTTAATTTCGCGTCCCCTTTGTCGAAGGCCAGCGAACATGACAGTTGTGGTTTAATTAATCCATAGATTTGAACGAGGCAGTCATATTAGAGTCTTGCAGGTAACCCCATTAGCCGTCATTAAATATGCAATCGAGGAATTCCAGAATGGCACAGTTTCCTCACTTTACTTGGTTCTTCATGGCCATATCAGACTTACAAAAACTCTGGTCAAAACTTAAATGAAAGATCAAAAGCTAATTCCCCTACTTCTACGAATTCTTCAGGTTCAATATGTGTGTATATGGCCCAATATTTTACAGAAGTGGTAAAAGAAAAAGAAATTTGCTTTAAACATGAAACTATAACATGCTAGAGTTTATGCAACCATGCTAGCTAGATGGTCGCTTTTCCTGGAGTGGATTTCTTTTTGAGGTGGTCTGCCAAAGTGGCTTAGGATTATTCGGCACAATAATCAGTATTACAGTCCCACCCGTGTAATTCTTTATAGTAAAAAAAGCTATGTGACAAACTGGATCTATATATATATATATATATATATATATATATAAACACGTGGCGGCTAGTGTTTGAAGGTAATTTGGCTGTAAAATAAGCTGGCTTTCATATTTTACGTTTAGACAGTTTTGATTTTTCATAACCATGTCTGGATATTAATCTCGCAAATCATCGAACTGTTAAATGGCTTGGCAATATGATGACTGTCTCCCACCGTGAAATTGAGCATCACCCGCCGTCCCTCATCATCATGGAATCCCAAAGTGGTGTTTCGAGGGATTTTTGAATTTGGGGGCTGAGGGCAGCTATTTCTCCATCAACTCAAGCCATTCCCCCACTGTCTGACGACTCATGTATTGAGAAGAAGACTCGATCGCTGGGACAATACGTTTATTCGCTTGACGTTTCGACCTCCGCCGCGGATTCATCATCAGGGACATGAGTAGCAGAAACAGGTCCGCGACGGATTTCGAAATGTCAGGCGAATAAACATATTGTCCCAGCGATCGAGTCTCTTCTTCTCAATTACTTCCTGGAACACGCATGTTCGCTTGTATTGGCGACTCGGGTATTTTTTGCATGTGCTGGTTGAGCCTTCCAATATCCTACAACGACTATAAACAACTGTAAAGTGTACAGGTTCGCGCTAAAACCTTAAGGTTGTTTCCAACTTTCCAACAAATCGCCTAAACCTCTGTTTTTTTACTCATAATGGAACCTCTTCGTTTCCCTCCCCATTTTGAAGTTAGTCTTTTGACTTATCCAGAACCACATATCTTTCTCAAAAAGAATGGTCCAAATTTTGCTTGGCTTTAAACATTCTGCAAATGCGTTTTTTCTAAGGCTAATTACAAATCACCTTCCACACTTGACGGTCGGAGAACTGATGATTCAGGACGAACTCCTCTTGGATCCCTTCTGGCAGTCTACCTACACAGCATCTCCTCGGCAGTCCGCTAACTCCGCCGACTTGGACACGTTTAGCCTTATTGATATCTCCGACCCGCCAACCGCGATCTCAGATATGAGCCCAATCCTCCCGTCGCCAACAGATTTGGATGCAGGTAGGTAGAACTGTCTGCTATTTTACGCCTGTGCTTTCCACCGCCTCAAAATTAGGCTACTCTGTAAAGCAATGGTTTAACTTTCGACGATCATCTCATTTTCATTTCCCCTCTTCTAACCAATAACTTGTTCTAGTTTGGCGCAGTCATGGCTTGATGGCAGTAAGTTTCATCTCAATTTCCTTTCTCCAGCACCGAGCCTTGTGTTAGATTTTTTGCCATTTTGCTTTTCGAGGAGTTGACTCATTTGAATCCTGCTGCCGGCACTAAATACTTGACGATTATGTGTTTTTATCCTAATCGAATAATGCCTTACTTCTTACCTCCGCGGCCGAAGGGGTTAAAATGTAAGGCTACGATTGTGAGAAAATGTACGTACATGTTGACCTTTAATAAAGACAAGCAATATAGGGTTTTACGAAATGTCAAACACGTTTGAAGTCAACTTGAATTGCACATATTTATATTCACTACATTTTCTTTTCGTAATCTAAGTTTCTTCATCAGTTTAAACACACCGGATGTCCGGAGGAATGGCAGAAGGCGGCCAGAGCAAGTCGAATAAACTGTAGAATTACCATCGCACGGCACATCTATCGAGAAAAGGTAGCAAACTGGGACGTGGACCTATATTTAAGCTGATTAGACCAGCTATCGTGAATGACACCAACACGGGCTTGGTCTGTTCAAAAGCCGGTTACTCAAAGACGAAGGATAATGGGAATCGAGCAGAGAAGGCATAAAGAAAGAAAAATTGTTCCCACAACTGTTGGTTACTAAAACCCTGTTAGTAGCAAATGAAAACGGCAATGAATAATTCTGTAGAATGTCACAGGAGCTCCAACCAGTAGATAGTGTGACCGGCTCGGATAGTGGGCTGGTACCCGGAATAGACAAGAGACAGAGGTCAACTTTTGGACTCCGTTCCTCGATATCTAGCACATTCCCAGTGCGCTAAAAGCGTGTCTTGGAGCCCTGTTAACTGATGGGCTAACTCGGTCCTCTCAGGGCGGAAAGTCGGGCTGTGCTGGATGCTTAATATGGGCTCCATGGCTCTCCCATTCAGTTCAAATGTGCGCCACCCTTTGTTATTTTTCTAAAATTCTGGTTAATGTCGCGCGGACAAGGCGTGCGTGGCACATGCACGTGGGCTATTTAGCCTTGTCAATTAATATTCCTGATTCCGCCTCCGGTATTCTTGCTTCAGACTTGCTAGTAGGCTGAGCTGGACGAGGGCGTAGGAAGTTCGGTGAATATATCACGAGTCCATTCTATAAACTATTTCATGCGCAAGTCATCATCCGTACATCCACAAAACTGCAGGACACATGGTAGACGTGGCCCTTCACGACGGTCGAACTGTCACATTGCGTAGAATGAGCGAAATATTATCCGGTAAGGATGCATTTTAGGGCCGCCGAATGGCGAAACTCCCTCAATCCAAGTTTCATGGTGAATTCTTTGTTGAAGGTTAATCAAATGGTTGCGCAGACCACGAGCCATATAAGTGCATGACAACTACACAATAAAAAGAAGTTAAAACCGCATGTAATAAAAATGTAGATGAAAAGGTTGCGTAAAGGACAAAAAGACTGAAAAGGAAGCCTGCAGATCAAGAAAACTATAAGAACAACTCCCATTAGCTAAACTAATCCAACAAGAGTTTGAATAGGGGTAAATTCAACTTATGGAAAGTTTGAAAGTC